TGAAATAATAGTATATTACTTACCAATAATGAATGTTAATGAGTAAAATGGTAAAAATAATTTCATGAGATGAGAGATTGATTGTTCTGTTCCACGAGGCAAGACTAATTGGCATAGCTGTGTATCACACAATATTATTAATTGCCAGCCAACTCTTTAGGTCAGTTTTTGGCAGCATTTATGTCAATAAAAATGACCTATGAGATTTAACAAATCATTTTTTTCAAAATACTGGCCGTGTTGAAGCTGTAGTCATGTAATTAATTATCCAACTGATGCCTATGCCAAGTGCTCAAGTTAGGTATCCTCGACCAAGCTGGTTTACTGTTTCTACTACACAGATCCCCCACCTCCAAGGGACTTCACTGTCTCCAAGACTGGCCCAAGGACAGCTTATGTCGCCTGGCTCCCACCCACGTTCCCATACGGGATCCTGGTGTCCTATAATCTCACATTCACTGCCATATCCAGTGTAAGTCTTTGATAAATTAACAGATGCAGTGGTTGACTGGCCATTGAATATTTTGAATGACTTACAGGAAAATGTCAGTGTTTTTAGGGCTGTTTTGAACCACTGATCAAACTTTGCTTGACGCTGTTACCCCTGATAGGCTGGCCCCTTCTTTTTGTATGGAGCATTTGACCCATTTAGCTGCACTGGGCAGCCTTGCAATACCCAGGGCTGTTATCAACTATTTTTATCGACAAAATTAGGAAAATTCTGAAGTCCCCAGGCTGCAGAAAAACAAAAATCTTACTTTGAAATGAAGAGTAAGAAAATTAATTAATTTATCACTGTCTTCCCCTGCGTGTTGCAGGCTGACAGTTCATCTCGTAGCATCATCTTACGAGCAAGTTTTCAGACTTACAACCTGACGGGCCTCAACGTGGGCAACAGCTATCGCTTCAGCATTGCAGTCAACAACAATGTCGGAACCAGTGAGATGGTTGATTTCCCAGATACCCTGGTATTCCCTGAAACTGGTGAGTTAGTCGCCAACTGCTGGATTTGTCAGAATAAATGGAAATGGACTAATTGAATGCCTATGACACTGTACGTCACTAGCCTGAAAACACCTGTAAGGAGAGGAAGATGAAGCAATGTTTAGTTTCAGAGGTAGCAGGAAAACCCAGACAAATATTTCCCAAGGCAGGAATCCAAAATTGAATCCATGTATTGACCATGATGGGATTCGAACTTGCGTCACAGATTTGGAAGACAACAGAATTACAATCTTTGCCTTCTTCAGTCGTTATAAGTTGTCATTACCGAATTCCTTCCACAGAAACGCATTGTAGAATATTTATTATTTGTTGGTTTTATTTTCACATAAAGCGCCCCCAGCAACAGATCATAGGATCACAAGCTCAAATGCTGTATCGCCAACCGGTCGTAGTGTTACCATCTCTTTGTCTAACGAGATGTTCAGTCAAGAATACGGACCCATCCTAGAGTACGCCGTTCTAGTTGCAGAACTTGCATATGGAGGTATGGTCACCAGATTCCTGCATTTCAGAATCCTGTTTTTGGATGTCGCCAAACTAGAGGCATATTTACCACAGCTGTAAATCTTTGTTGTGTGGGCTCTCTGGCATTTTCTGTCCATATATTGGGTATTATACGGAGAATTTGAATGTTTCAAAAATTCCTTTGCTGAAATTCCCCGACATTTTTATGTATACGGGTACATGACTTTGGGCATGCATGAAATTGCCTTCCAGGAAAAAGGAATTGATACATTTTGGAATTTTTTCACAGCGGATAACACAGGCACCATCACAGACGCCATTCCGCCCGAGCGCACATGGGCCTCTGTTCAAGGCCTGAGTCGCTGGCTTCCCTACCGTGCTTCAAGGGAAGGCTACAATCCATTTATCAACGTGTCCAACCGAAAGCGACGACAGGCCACCGCGACGTTCATCGACTACGCGGTCGGCAGCGACAGAAGCTGCGACCCGACGACAGAGAATGTCTATTGCAATGGGCCCCTCAAAACATACTCGACATACGCGTAAGAAGATTCCGCCATGATTTGATTTCACCAAGTTAAACAGTGCTCTGTGGTCAATGTGCATGCCTTTAAACTGGCATTTTTCAGTCTCCCGGCAATAACTTTTGCTGTTTAGAGGTTGTTTGAAAAGAAGTCTTACCAATGTATACCATGTTTTTCTACAAGACTGTGCTAAGTTATCCTACAAAATAAAATTCAACAACTTTAAAGACGTTCCTAACCTGGATAGCATAGTCAGTTCTGCTTTCTAAAGGGCATACTATGACAATACCGTTTTGTTTCATAATCCTGAGTGTCTCATGATCTTGAACCATTCTCTCAGAAAGACCATGGCAAAAATGGCACAAAAATATTCCAAGTTTAAAATCTAGTTTTCTTCTTTTTAGCACCACTGGAGCTCAGCGCTTCAGGCACAACTGTGAAAAACTCTTCACTCATTTTGAAATTGCTGGTCATTCCTTTTCGGCAGGTTTGCTGTGCGTGCCTATGGTGCCGATGGCACTTACACTGATACTCTCTGGTCAGATCCAATATCCACCGGTAAGTGTCACGAAAGCAAGGTTCACCAACTTGCTTTACTTCTAAAAACATTTTGGCCTTCCAGAAGCATGAAGAGGGAATATAGCAAGGGGATTTTCTCAGGCATGTATGGTCTTTGCGTACACGCAGAATGCGTGCAAAAACCTGTTTGTAACCACCTGTCTTTCTTTTTGCCGATTGGGGGTGCACTTCAGTTTGGGGTGGATAGAGCCCTCTTTCCTATTTCCGAACTGAACCTATAGAAACAGACAGGATACGTGTTATGCGTTACCATTGCATCGAATTGTATTGTCAACCGTAGTCATCTCAGTATCAGAAACGCACGTGCTAAATGATCAGCTTGTTATTACCATCTTGTCGCAGGTTTTGATGTTATGTGGTTCATCTACCCACTGATTGCTCTGATAATCATCACCCTGCTCATCCTCATCGTCTTCTGCTGCGTTTGGAGAGGATGGTAATTTATTACCACTTTGGGTCAATTTTTTGTTAAGTGAAGTTTTACTTTGTTTTCTTCGCTTAATTTTGGAGCGCAGTGGGTCCCGAGTTCGACCAAGAGAGGGCGCGATTGTCCTCAGCAATGGAGGCTCCTTTGGCAGTAACTGCGCATAAATGGTTCATGATTGACTAGGAAACACAAGCATTGCAGTTGCATAGCTACCAACGAAACGAATATTCCCAACCAGTGCTCTTTTTAACCGATGGAGTGGTGCTTCTGCTTGAGGCGCATTGGCCATTGGCTGTGTTTCCCTTTGTGGTTTCTCTGCTGCCTTAAGAATTACTCTGAAGCCCTTCAAGCCAAACTTAAATGAAAAGACTCCTATCAAAGTGTTTAATGATCGTGAAGTATATAGTCGTAAATTAATGCAAAGTTCTCCTTGTCTGAGGATGTGAAATCTTCTGAACCTAGAGCTGAAACGAAGGTATGGAAAAGCTCTTAAAAAAAATGGAATTTTTTTTCCTTGCAGCTGTGGCAATCCCTCGAGGAATTCCATGTATGAGGACAAGACTGCCCTTGTACAAGTGGTCCAGCCAGAAGAACCAGTCCCAGCCCAGGCGAAAGAGAATCCATACGAGATGACCACAGTCATGCAGAGTACCACCAGCAGGTATGCAGGCGATTAAAAACCAAAACCCATGCACTACAGGATGGGAAAAATGATGGGCGGGGCTTGTGGTCACTGAAGTTGGAGGGGTGTGTTGTAACCCCAAGTGGAACTTAACTGAGAGGGAATGAATTCTTTTCAGCTTCCTGACTTTGTGCTACAAACTCTCAAGCACACACATGGTATCAAGAAGAAATTGAACCAGTTTACCTTGCGGAGTAGTACAATCTCACTGAACCCTTTCCGTGGTTGAAACCAGCCACTTGTAGAGAAGCAATTTCAGCATTGTACCTTGCTTAGGGACTCAATCTCATTAAACCCTTGGCTGGGTTCAAACCATTTACATACAAAGAACTGCAATTGTTGCAATGTACCTTGCTCGAGGACACAAGCTTAATGAATCCTTAGCTTGATTCAAAACCTGTAAATAATTAATAGAAGCAGTAAATTGCAGTCAAGTGCACAGGTGAGGGGCATAAAGCATCTCAAACACACCACTGGTTTGGTTCAATCAACATTTCAGGGACCAAATTTGTGGGGGTAAATGGGATGTCGGGGAATTATTACTTGTGCCCAACTCGCTGCTATTTCTTGGACTGTTTTTGGATTTGCTGATGTTATGCTTGACGAAATTGGCTTAATTTGTGGCAACTTGCTAGCGTACTGTTCCCTCTTTTTGTCTCCTGTCAACATCCAGGCCTATTGCGGTCAATCGTTTTGCTCAGCACGTGGCCCGACTGTCAGCCAATAACAACAAGCTCTTCAGTCAGGAATATGCGGTAAGACGTCAGTCCATGTCACACTGCGTTGTGGTGAAATGGTCGGAAACAGTTGGAAACTGAATGGGGATTTTCAAATTGGTTTTGAAATAGTTTTGTCCCTTTTTACTATTAAAATTATTTGAAGGGAATTCGATGTTCATAGCAATATGGAGACCTCAAATTGAGAGCAAGATATCTCATTCTTATCAGGTTTTAGGTTTTGGCTCCTTAGTTTACCATGACTCTTCCCTTGATTTTTCACATTCTTCTCTTTGCCATATTCCTCACAGTCTCTGCAGAGTAAAGGAGCCAGCGAAAGCCGCAAGGTGTCCAAGTATCCTGAGAACATGGCCAAGAATCGCTATCGCAACATCCTGCCGAGTACGTAACCGCAGTGTGGTAGTTGAAACACAAAACCAGTCCAAAGTAACAGGGTGAACGGCGACAAAAGAATGCTTTTGGCACAGTTAATTTGGATAGCCTGTGACATGAATTTGGACTGGATGTCTTGTTAGATGGTCTCGTGGTGATCGTAAGGGGTCTCGACCTCACACCACCTATCAGGGGCTCGACAAATGGGATGAAACCTATTCATGAACACAGCAAACGGCATAAATTATGCAACAGAGTCCTCAAACAACATGTCATCAAACAGAGATTAACCGATTGGAGGGAATCTTTTTACCATGTTGTATATCAAGTTAGTTGTTGAAGATTCAATTCATGTTTTGTCCCAAATACCTGCTAGAACATTACCTGACTCATCTTTGGTCAAACTGTCATTTTCTAGACGACAATCATCGCGTGCAGTTGCAGAACTCCATGGACGGTTCAGACTACATCAATGCAAGCTTCTTGAGCGTAAGTCACAGGTTCTGTGGTTAACCCCCTTCATCCCTTTGCAGGCATTTGCATTTTGAAATAAAAGTGAAGCTGCGTTTTTAAAGCAAAGGCTCAAAGGCCCGATTGGTTGGTAAACTGTGATTCTTTCGTGACAGAATCCCATTCACGTGGTTGGAGCTTGCCAGATCCACCTCTCCTAAAAGAGATTGAAGTTTGCCAGTGCAGCCTCCCTTTTATCTCATGTGTTCCTAGGCCCCATGGATTTAAAGTTCCACTCCTTAATGTCTTTGTGTAATCATGTAATTTCTGCATGTAATGGTATTTTCAGAGAGTGTCACAGCACAGCCAAATACTGGTCAAAGAGGTAACTCTAAGAGTCAGAATTCTTGAAAATGGAGCATCAGACTCAGTCAAAAGTAAATGATTCAATCCCTTAACCAGCTGGCAGTATAATCACAGCCACGGCCTCAATGATGAGCGACTTCTGACCTTTCCAGTGATGAAATTTGACCTCAAATTGTTATTCATGCATGAATTTGATTTCCACCCTACATCACTAACACAGGGACGAAACAAAGACAACGAGTACATAGCCACCCAGGGCCCACTGCCAAACACTGTCAGTGACTTCTGGCAGATGGTGTGGGAGCAGCAGACAGCTGCTATCGTCATGGTAACCAATCTGGTGGAGAACGCCAGGGTAAGTGACAAGAGTCAATATGGAGTAGTAAAGAAACGAAGCAGTGACTACAAATAGTTGGCAAAAACCATTGAATAGAAAGACTGTTGAACACGAAAGTGGTAATCAACAGAATGAAAAAGGAAATGAACTGAAAGCAGTAAATCAAGAATATGTGGGAAAAAATTTGCAAGTCTGAGAGTCACAGGTAGCGAATAGCAAACAAGGAGTACCGTTAAAACCTTAACAGTCCTCAGTTCTCCAATTCTGATGGAATTTTTCACACACTCTAGGGAGTTGGAGTTAATAGTGATGTACTTAAATGCTACTTGTAGCTGTTTTATCTTGCACTTGTTTGAATGACGACTCAAAAGATTTAGTCGAGGAGCTTTGGTTGATAAAGCACTTTTACACACCTGCCGACCTAGCCGTACTCCTTCCTGAGATCAGGCATCACCACACAATCGATTAAAAGGTACTTAAATCAGCCTTCAGTTCATTCAAATTTTCAATCTATTGTGTGGGGTAATGCCTGACCTCAGGAAGGAGTACGGCATGTTGGCAGGTCTGCTTTTACAGATCTCTGTTGGTGTTGGGAATAAATCCTCAATCAGCTGAATTTCCTGAGCACATTAATCTTAAGAGCTGTCATTAATGTGTCTGTTTAGTTTTTAAACAAGCAGGTAATACTTTACAACTAATTTTCACGAGCATGAGAAGTTGCTTGCGGTTCAGGAGCATTATTTATCCTACCTTTTTATTATCAGGTGAAGTCTGAGCAGTACTGGCCGAATGACAACAGCCAGCTAACCTTCAATGACGTGACTGTCACTCACATCAATACAGTCACCAAACCATCGTGGACTATCCGTACACTGGAACTTGAGAAGGTAGGCTTCCTGACAACCAGGAGATTCCCCGTCAGAACCTATCCCGTCCTATTCTTCCATGCCCAAGCCTGCCCTGCCCTGTCCATATCTGCCCTGTTCAACCTTTCCCTCTCCTGCTCACCCACTCTGCCCTAGTGCATTCTGTCCCATTCTGTAGGACCCCAACCCACCCTGACCCACCCCCAAATCTGCCCTACCCACAGTACCCTTCTCAAATCTATCCTGTCCCATCCAGGCACTCGTCTGCCAAATCCAGCCTGCTCTAGGTGTATTCTTTTCCACTTGCCAATCCCCGCCTTACCCCACAACACCATATCCCTCAGTCTGCCATGCCATGCCCGGCCATCAATGCTGTTCTGTTATTCCCCATGTGCCCAGTTCCTTCCCACCACGCTGCTAACGTGCATCTTTCTTTGCAGTAAAAACGAAACGGAGACTTTTTGAAAGAAATTCAGACGGTCATGTTGTCCTCTTTTCAGAACGGAGAGACCAGGGTGCTACACCATTACCACTTCCGTTCCTGGGGAGACCACGGCGTGCCTTCCACACCAGATCCGATGCTGTTCTTTGTCCGGACATTCCAGGAGATGCAGACATCGATCGCTGGTCCTGTAGTGGTGCACTGCAGGTAAGCACCAGAAATATATATAGCCACTGTCCTGGGCAAGGTTTCACCAAAATACTCTTCAGTCTTGCTGTAAAATAATACTGGTTTTGTGTGTCAAATATTACCCAAATTTGAGTCCTTCAATTTAAAATTGAATTTATTGTTTGACCATGGCAGCTAATAGCTGAATTGCATCAAAACGCATACGGCAGACATACATACAATAAGTAAAAGATTGTATAAAAGATTGTATTAAAGATAGCGTATTGAAAGAAAAAGAACTAAAAATTAGATTAAAATAATGAATCAGCATTAAAACTAAATAACATTCTGATGATAAACAATATTGTGCTGGTAGTGATTAAAAAGATTTGAAAATCATTACGCATCACTGTTAAAAAGCACAGCAAAGTGACAACTGACTTCAAAAACTTTTTAAAATGAGTGATGATGGACATAAAGAACGTCTTGAAGCAGACAATTCTGCCAACTTCGGACGGGTTTGGTTGAAACCCCTTCCTAAATGTATAGTGTTCATT